AAGAGAATTGACGACCATGCGATTTTGAGTGGAAAGAATGCCGGTCTTTGGCAGCAATGGCGAATGGTCGCAGGCTGAATGTCGTTTTACTACTTGACGAGCATATGGTGGAGTGGTCATCACAAATTCCTTGTGACCCCGACTCTCCACTGGCGCCCGGACGACCGACTAACGGACGGGGTACCCCGATTCCGTGCTCCGTGTGTTCTTGCTCACCTTGTGTACCCGTCGGCGGGGCGGGTTGCGCTCTTCTTGGTGGACTTGAGCTGAAGCTGAACTTGACCGTTTTGGGGATAGGTGTTGATCGGGTGGATAGGCTTCACCCGGTCAAACGTAGGTGCGTATCATGTAGAAGTTCTTCACTCGATCTCTTGTAACTTGAGCGCTCTCCCAGAGTCGCCTTTGCCAGGGGTGAGGCTTATCCCGCGAGTCTTCTGACCACTTGAGCCGTCTCGAGATCTTGAATCTGAACCGTAAGGTTCACTGCGTCCTATCGCAGTTGATGGGGGGTGAGAATTGACTTTACGCCTGGCCAAACAATCCAAGTGCGAAGTTTGTAAAGTTGCGGGTGACTCTCTATTCAACGGAAGGCCAAAGATCCTGCCCGGGAGAAGTCGACACGTGCCTTTCGTTGCAAATTCAATTTTATTTAATGTAAACCAGCCAAATCCAAACCCTATGACTATGCCTATCTGTTCGCTAGGTTAACCGTTGTGCACCGCCTGTCTATGTCATTCACCTCTTGCATCATGTGGTCCACAGCATACACTCCGTAGTGGATTGCGGTGCAGTAAATTGCACCATAGTGGATCGCTCCACAGTGGATCGCGGTGTCGTGGATCGCGGTATTTCATCCACACCAATTATTTGATCCACACCAATTATGTGATCCACACTCATTATGTGATCCACACCACCCAGTGGTATCCATGATAGAAGGTGGAATAACCTGCGCGACTTGGACAGTCGTTTCCCTTCAATCAGTCGTTTGGTCACCTTCATCGTCCCAACAGGCCCATCTCCATACGCGCTCCACCAATCAAACTGGTTTCGCAATTTAGGTGGATCGCGCGATCCACGCTTTTATCATTCTTCCTTCGCGCTTCTACACAAAGCAACCGCCGCTCTCAAACGGGGCAGGGTCAACTTTCTGAACACCTAACAAAACAGAGATTGCGCGTAAACTTAGAGATATGCTACATGTTAGAAAGCACTCCTTTTTTGTGACATGTTGAGTATACTTGGCATGACGATTTCGCCCATTCCCTTAGATTGCACCACGACATAGTCGTTAAGAAACACATCTGCCGAAGAGATTTCCTTTTAGCTCAATGTACACTTTCAAGAACTTAAAATGCTGCATCGCATCGACTCGACCAGACACCATTCAATTGACTTGTTGTCATTACCACTTACAAACATATAATATACGAATATAGTAATTTTTGCTACGCCAACTTGTTGCAGACTCTGCCGATCCGCATTCTCGCGGGTTCTGATCGTATATCATTAATACAAAGTCCTTTCTTGCCACTTTAATTCCATGTTTTGGGGCTTCTGGTCGGAACACCCTCGTCTGCGTTCGTCGTAGTCGATAACATCGTGAAAGCTTCATCTCAGTCGTGCGCGGCTCCATCGACTCCTTCCTTGCGATTTATGTTTTCAGGACTCAGCCGAGAAGTTACATTTTTACACGATAGCGAGTAAGCACGTGGCTCGAACAATCTAATTTAGGAACTGGTACAAATCGTTCAATACCAACCGAGTCGTGATTTCGAAGTCGTACTCGCCAATCGTAGCGCCGACAGCATCGCTATGTTTTGCCAACGACTTCAGATCTTTAGTACATTTTAGACTTTATTCGTTGTTGCAATGAAGAATCGTCGACGAAAAAAGAGGTTGTTCGCCAAGATCTTTGTCCAGGAGTGTCCTTCGAACCTTGTGTAATTGACATTGTCGAGTGATCCAAGCGGCTTTGAATGAGCGCGGGTTAGACAACTGTTTGCAGGGTAACATCGCTGGCGGGCGCGCTCTGGATACTGCGATATAAAATGCCACTCGGTGGACAGGAGAGATCAGCGTATGCACATGATAAAACCAGTTACATAGAGACGGGTAGGATGTCAGATAAAATCAGTAGCCAATAGAACTAAAGCAGCTGCACATCTTTCATCGCTTTACAGATGATTGTCAGAGCCTTGCGTGACTACCTATTATACGTCCCTTAGTCCGTTGATTTGGTGCAGTGACCCCGCTCAAATTCCAGTTGTCACGTTTCTTCGACCCCGCTCGTCCATTAATATATTTATCGCGGGCTTATGCGTGTTAGTTCGTCTATAGCAAGTTTTTGATGCGAAGAAAGAAAATAAAGGCGACGTCCACGACAAAGGCGTATTTTGAGTCTTAGCTGGAGAAAATGAGTATAGCTCATTACCTGACAACAAGTTGGATATGACTGATGGTAAAATGCAAAGCGAATTATTTAGTTCCTTAGTTTAAAACAATTATTTTGTTATTCTAAGCATCATAATTGTTATCGACTACAAATAATTGGAATCGTCATATCGCATATTACTGGTTGTTTAGGGCGCATTGCGAACCGCCGCGTCGCGCGTACCTTATTGTCTTACGCACGTGTCGCTAACCGCTGACTTCATGAGATGTTTTTTCGACAACGCATATATTTATCAGGGCACTGTGAGCTTCGCACTGACAACAGTGCGTAGCAAGCTCTCACTGACTGAAGTGATAATTGGAGTCCTACTTAGATTGCGTACGTTATACGCGCTCATAGCAATCTCAGTACTATACAACTAAGTTTAGTGAGAAAAAGAAAAACTGCATAAATATATAAGTCATATAATGTGTCTTATCCCTATCAGTCCTCACTTAACTATATCATTACCAAAGCACGTGTAGCGACGTCTTCTCAATTAGCAGCGATTGGCAGATTAATGTAATGGTATATCAACCAATGATTCGACCATTGGGTCACTGTAACAATATTATCGAGTGACATTGTAATATGAAAATTGAACTTAATGTTTTTCTAGTAACATACTGTCACTAACCATAATATTGTGCAAGAGGCTCACCCCATTAGAATGATGCGTTTATTGCAAGAAAAGAAATATAGACACATTACAAAATGACAAATTAAGAATTATATAAAATATAGAAATGATAATAATTACTTTGGATGAAAACGAAAATGTACGACAGATGTAAATTGATCGAACAAGTGTGCACATACCTGAGATCATTCATATATATATATATTGTTTTCATTATCTTTTGCTCAGTAAATCAGCAGTTATATATATTTCATCTGTGTCCGTCGACTGTCATGGTGCGTGGACGCCATAAAATGTAACACTACAGTATTGTTCATCATTTGATAGTAAGACCGCAACTTTCTATCCACTTGTTTGTATTTTATTGAGGCTGTCATAGCTATAGTGTGTGGCTTTTACCTTGGCAGTATCGCTTTACTTACATAAGATAATACATCGCAGTACCAAAGTGTCGCTTCACAATGGTGTGAAGATGATACACGTACGACCTCAGGCCGCAAAGACGACGAATGCAAAGAGGCAGCAAAAGGAGACTCAAAATGGGGAGCTGGATTGTACATATTTCTACCATTGTAAGCGGTCACGCTGATGCTTGCGGACACGCGAAGCGGCAGGCGATCTGATAGAACACGACATGCTGATAGATCTTGTGATCGTCACGAAGACGAAGCTACTACTAGGGGTAGTCATTTTCGAGTAGGGTATGGAGATCGCTTGGCAGAACTGTGAATCTAGGTGCAATGTTGCTACATGCAGCGGAGGACTAGTCACAGAAGCGTAGGATCGGGGTCCTTTCGTACGAACACGCTGCAAGACATTCTGATAGACGCGATTGATGAGTTGTGAGGGCCACATTAATGATGGAATGTTGCTAACACTCATGACAAATGAATAGCCTCTTAATATCTACAAATAGACGATTGTAAGTAACGGACACAGGAGGTTGCATTAGGACCATATGCCTCAAATACGAATTATTTCTCAGTCACCGGACGCTGTTTATATATATTTAAAACGACAATATATCGCCACGCTATATAAGGTCCCATTCTATCAAAGTCGCTCTACATGCTTCCCATTTGATAATGGATCACGCGGCTAAGTTAAGTGCGTACCAACAACGTTTATAGTGCATGGTCAATGGATACAACGACGAATGCGACGTCAAAAAATCGCCGGAAACACTCTCACCTTGCATGATACAACTAAATTTCATACAAAGTATCAAATGTATAGCTATTTATCTATGGAATTTGTAGCCCGAGTATTTCGGCCCCATAGTATACGCAAAGGGAATATTTTCATAATGCGAATTTTTGGCATTCCATTGTGAGGTGCATCGTTCATTATTCGATGCATTTTTCTTCCTCATTTTTCGTGATGCATTATCGTAAAACTGTAAGAATAAGTGGATGTATTTATTTTCTAATTTTGAAGATCTTGACACTCGATACATGTTGATTTCGTCTAATGGGCGTAGCCCAAACTGGTCAAAATAATTTGTGCGGGGTGTTTCTTCACCACACGCCCATACTCCTATCGATACATGTGTAAAAGTCGATTCTTTAAACCTCGAGATTCGATCATGCATTTTAGCAACGATTCACTCAATAACCAGAGGTACGTGAAATCATTGTAGTCACTGTGGGCTAATTGTGTCCTGTCTACAGACAGACGGGGTAACTCCTCTTGCTTGGCAATCCATATGGTGCACTCAATCAAATCGGATACATCGCGAGTATACACAAACGCCGTATACAGCGGTGCAAAAACGAAGCCCCAACTTGTCAACAAAGTACGACACTGAGAGCAATTTGCTCTTTGTTGACCAAAAGTGTTTCGAACGAGATAGTATCTAACGGACGCATAACTTCATTGCGGCGCAGGTCTTGCAGAAAACCCACTTTTACTTTTCGTAGCTGTTGTATGGCGCCGAATTGGGTTTGGTCGCTCGTGGCTGTGGCAGGAACAGCGACTGCAGCGGCTGTGGTCTATAAGTATGTGACCCGAGGAGCTCGCAGTGATCGAGAGAGTGAGGCGCCTGCGGCTGTCGCGACCCGAGCGAGCGAAGACGTGGACTACGAGTGGCTTTCGTCCCAAGACGAAGGCGAGACGGAAGAGGCGGATGCAGAGCAGCGCAATGAGCAGCAAGTGCAGCACCATGTGGCCGTGAACCGAGCGAGGAATATCGTGCGCTACATTTTTGACTCGCTGAATGGATACATATGCACAGGACTAACGTACTGGCGGATTGGATGGTGTGTCTATAGCTGCTGGCGATGTTTGGACTTTTGTTGATGGTGTTAGTGACTACCGTGTCGCTTGTCATCACATGGAACAATAGCAATAGCGAAAACGGTCTTTCTTCGTTTGTTGAGCTGCCGCTTTTCGAGCCATTGGCGTGGATTGCCGTTGGTATTATCACTGGTGGGATCACACAAGTTTGATGTTGATCAAGCATAAGCAACAGGCGAGCTGGGGATATGCTAACTCCGTGCTTCGTTTTGCTGTCTCAATTTGGTGCTATAGCTGCTGGTACAGAACTCGTCACGCGGTCGAGGAGAGTGAGCGCATATATGCCAATCGTCGAAGAGAAAGCCGTATTTCCACATGACGCGAGAGACTTCGAGCTCATTCGACGGCGTGATGGTAATTAGTGTACTGCTACGTGACTGTTATGATTTCTTGCTACGGCACTGATGCGCGTTGACTTCAGCACGTGAAGAAGTATCGAAAGCTTCCAAGGAAAACAATAATGGGGACACGTCGCGCTCTGACCGTCGCGTCGTGCATGGAGACGACGAAAACAAAAACAGTGCGTTCGAAGACGCTGCGACAATTATCGAGCGGGCAGACGAATTGTTTGAGCAGGAGGAGCATGCCAGGACGCGAGAGTATCTGAAAGCCAAATTGCTCGACTACCCCACAAGCGTTGAAATGGTGCGTGTAGAGTTTGCTGGCTAACATGGCTTAGGGACGTGTCTGACACGGCACGTGCCAGTTGTGGCGCCTGGCTCGTGCGGGCAATTGCCTCGTTGATGAAGCGACAAGTGCTGACGAGAAGAGGGTGCTAGCATTTGAAAGCTTGGCTGCTGCAGAGAAAGCGTATGCTCTCGATTGTGACTCGGCAGCATCCAATAAGTGGATGGCCATTATGACTAGGTAGTAGCTACTGCACATATCGCCTCGATGGATACATCTAGTGACACTTGTTCGGATCGTTTGTGGGCAGCACGGTCGGCGGCTTCTGTGACTTGAAGGAGAGGATAGCAGGGGCCTACGTCATTTGGGTGAGCAACGAGTCCACCACCTATCGGCGTGAATGTTGTCGAACGACGAAACGATGCTTTTTGCTCAACTTGTTTTTTTGTAGGATCACATTGAGCGATCGATCGAACTGGACCCGACTGATGCAACTTGCCACAATATCCTCGGACAATGGTGTCTTGCCTTTGCCGACATGACTTGGGTTGAGAAGCGCGTTGCTGCTGCTTTGTTTTCCACACCACCGACTGCTACGTATGAGGAAGCAGCACAGCACTTTCAAGCAGCTGGTAAGCTCCTATACGAGCCAGTTGGCAAACATGATCGTTCCACGCTGACGAAGGATTGTGCTGTGTTGTCTAGAACGCATCAGCCCTGGGTTCTGGAAGAAAAATGTGTTTCTCCTTGCTCAGGTACCACCTCATTTCGAGGCGATACATGCATGCGTCAGCGCTCTGATTAGCCGCTTACTCTTGTGCACTCATGTTTAGACCTACATGAAGATGAAGCGTACAGAAGAGGCAGAAAAATGGCTGCGCAAGGCCGAAGACGTGCCGGTAAAGACGAAAGAGGATGAGGAAGTAGCACGAGGCATCGCCAGATTGATGAAGCAACTGAAGTTGAAGTGATTGCCTTCATCCTGATCAGTACGTTGCACCAAATTCGCAGCTACTATACGATGAGTATGGAAGTAGTACCAGCTGGGGGCGTGAACGACATGGACGGTGACCTTCCAAGTACGACGAAGCCTCGTGCAGTGAGCAATTAGTCAGCAACGCAAAGCAGAGAAACTGTGGCTCCTATGAAATTGCTTTCGGCAGGTCCGTCTATTCCTCCATCGTGACAGACTGCCCGTTCTCTTATTGTTTACTTCACCCGAGATATTCATCAAGTCTTCGCGCGCTTCCTGTTAACAGTTTGCTTGCACAATAACGTAGTTATCCCAGCATCGCACCATCCGGTATCTGCACTGCAACGAAGTCTGGCCTGGCGTCCATGGCGCTACGCGATGACAATCCGGCGGTAAACGAGCTACGACGGTCTTATGCCGATAGTCACGGACATGCTCTTCGTCACTGCTGGTTCAAACTTGACTTTATTTCCATTGATGCGTCAACACTGATGTGGCTGCTACTTACTACATTATTGCTCCGAGCAATTACCCAGGTATCCAAACAAAAGCCTGACGCAGCTCCCACCCAGATCGTACGTGAACGTAGACGCTCTTATTACCTAACAAGCTAGCAAGAATCAGAATATCGGGTGACTCGAAAGGGCTCAAGAAGCGCAGTTGTCGCTGTCCAATGTAAATCTAGAAACCCAAGGATAAAATCGAAAGAGTATGCCGTGTTGAACACACCACCAAACACTAACATTTCCGACGGGACGTGCGCCGCGTACGGCGTTCAACGCGCTTCCTTTCTTGCAGCGAAAGATTCAGCGCCGCAACCAAGTCCCTGCACAACACCCAGTTACAGCAGAACAAAAAACAAAACAATCCACGCAATTAGACTTCTCCGTCGATGACAGCCCACTTGCCCTCAATGCAACGTACGGGTCGTCTTCATCGTACACGCCGTCGTGATGATCGCCAATATCTCGAGCAGCCTCAACTCCCTGTAGTGGTCGTAGCTCTTCGTGGTCAACTTGTCGATGACGGATCTCATTCTGCACCATCAACACCAATCGAATCTCAGTCCATTTCCGTGCATGCAGTGCATTGGCACTAAGTCCACATGCCCACTCGTACCTCAAACTGCTCTGCTGACAGCGATCCCAACATCCTCTGCGTGCCGCGATTAAACACAGAGTAGGCGCTCATGCCGCCAGCGTGTTCCTCTCGTCCAAACACCAAATGATACCCCAAAGCTGCAAACCCAAAGAGAATCACGTACGCCCCAGCGAACTCGGGCGCGTTGTCGTGAACATAGACGAGTCCTCGAATCCAAACGGCCGCCACCACTGTGCACCTGACCAGCAGGCGCCAATGAGGTTTCAGCGCAAGCACGAGCCTCGTCAGCGTCTCTCTCGACAATATCTGCGCCGCTTTGCGACGGATCTCAGCGCGCGTCTCGCGGTTCACACGCAGCACGGGAGGGATGAACGGCACCATCCATTCCAGTGGCCCTTGATCAGCAGCGCGCAGGTGACGCACGCGCGGAGCGTTTGCTGGCGGCACGTCTCGCACCGGTCGGTTCATTAGCTCAATTCGCCACTGTCCTCGAAGCATGTACCCATGTCGCGCGTTGCGATCGAACTTAAGCGAGACAAAGCACAAAAATCACCGTCTGCTTTGTCATTTTGTGAATAAACAGACGCTAAGCGCGTCCGAGCATAATGAAACGAAGAGTACCAGCTGGTGCTTCATGTTCAGGTCTTTGTGCTGCAAATGGTTAAGTTGTATCTCCTTTTTCGTGCAAGTGCATGTAGTAGCTCGTCGCGTAGATAACAACTGGAAGAGACGTCTCGCCCAATTGTGCCAAAAGACTGGCGAAAGATTTCGACATCGAAAGTTGTGCTCAACAAAACGTGCGTTGCTCGTTTGAAAAAGCCGACACTTGATATATATAAAACAAGACCGAACATGGCTGTCCGCTCCAGACAGCGATATTCAAGCCGTTCGTGCATTTGTCGTAAAGTACGTGGCAAGACGTCAACACGCTTGTTGCCAGCATCGACTCGGTCACTGCACAATCACTGTAGGTTGACCACCCTAGTAGGCAGCAGTCATCGCAGCCGGCACGTCAAGAGAGCTTGCAACTGACCGGCTGGACCAGTCAATTGTGCTGGCTACTCTACTTTTAGCTCCAGCTGCTGTCATCCTCGCACCACGTGGTTTCTAGCTCCTCTCCATGTGAACTTTCTCTCTATCGCATCTGCACTCTCGCGTTCCTATTATTGGGTTCTTGCTCTTCATTTCATCGTTTGCGTGTTCCGCCCTTCATCAGACGCACTCAGACGGACAAAGTCTTGACACGGAATGAGCTACGGAGGCAACGTCGAAGGTTACCTGATCAAGATCGACGGTCACGAAGTCCGCACTGTCTACTGCATCCTTGACGAGGGCATGCTGCAGATCTTCTCCCGCAAAGGTGGTGAACAGTTGGGCGTTATGGCTTTGTCAGGGTCCAAGGTGGAAGTGTTCTTGCTTCCTTCATCCGGAGTCGGTCAGGTGCCCAACCAATTTCGCGTTGACACGCAGTCGCGCCTTCCATCCATTCGTTTGCGCGGTGGTCGAAAGCCCGCGGGTGCCGACTTGCCCGTGTCGACGACTTTTGCAGGGTCGACCAGTGAAGTCACGAACCAGTGGGCTGTTTCCATCCTCAACTGGAGCCGGTACAGCTGGGAAGACGGTCAAATGGTGTGCAGTTCCAAGGACGAGCGCAGCAACTTGCAAAAGCTCATTGAACTGAGCAGCTTGAAGACAACCAAGGCGACAAGAAGCCTTGTTGTGCCGTTCGGAGTTAGCCCCGCAGTGTTGCCAGTATGAGGCAGGGCAAGCTGTCGTGTATGTTGGCCAGTGGTACACATGTCCATAGTAGTGTTAGTGTTGTCGAGTGTTGTCTAATACAGCGTGTTGCTGTCGTTTTGTCCTTCCTTCTTACTTACCAATTCTCCATCAAAACACTGTGTTGGCAGTGCATTCACCTCAGTCTTTTGCATGCTGTCCTTGGAATGAGTAGACGGTGGGCCACCGAGTCTCAATATTCGGGAGAACCTACACGCATTAGTTGTGACAATAAGCGAATGTTGGCTCAATTGCAGTTACTCACGCTCAACGATGATACAAACTAATCTATACACAGCCAAAGAGTCTACAGCACACGATTGCTTGCGATATGGTAGTTACGACACCATCAACATGAGGGCTTCATCAGCTGTAGACGGCGACGGAGTCTCCTCATGAGGCTCAGTACTGTTTTCGCTCGTCGCTGCCGCTGCTGCCGCCTCTTCTGCTGCCATCTCAGCGAGCCGCACTTTCGTGATGAACCGACCGTCTTCGCCGCGTTTGCGGTTCTTTGCGATGCTGTGCCGCACAGGGTAAGACGGCTTGTTGGACCAATTGCGACTCTCGCGCTTTTTCAGCCACTTGGCAATCTTCTCCATCTTCTCCTTCTTCGAGCACGGCGGAGGATACGACGGCATCGGCGGCGCAGTAGTCCACTTGCCACCCGGGCCAGCTCGAAGCTGAGCCTTGCCGTAGCCGTAGCCTGCTGCGTAGTAATTGTAGCCCATGTCAGTCTGCACATTGCTGTAGCCGTACCGGGTCATACCGTACTGAGGCTGCTGTTGGTACTGGCTGTAACTGCCGTCAGCCATGTACGGGTTCACGCTGTACTGAGATTGATCGCCGGCGTAAATGACGGTTCCTCCTGAATACGAACATTGGTTCACAGCATAGCCTTGCTGCATTCCGTACCCATTCATGCCCATTTGCATCGAGGCAGCAGAAGGATCCGAAGGTAGTGTCATACCCATCATGTTGTGGACCGGCGATGACTGGTAGCCGCGCTTGACGTACGTAGAGCGGTTCCGAAGGGGCAAGTTGATCTGCGCTGGTGGTGCACTATACACGTTGTTGGGCACTGGCGGATTGTAGAACTGCGGCGCAAACGTCTGGTACCCGTTTGACGCGGGCATGCCCGTGCCAGTGCTGTATCCATTACTCACAGGGAGGTTGCTACTAGTAGAAGTAGCCAAGCTGCCAGACGCTGCATATTGGTTCATCGCCGTAGACGAACTCTGCGGATAGCTTGTCGCGCCCACGGACGTACCATGACTAGTCGCCTGGTATCCGTACGTGTTTGCTGGCAAGGCCAACGTCGTCGGCAGTGCTGAGTGAAATCGGGCAGTGCTGGTGACAGTCTGTACCGGCATTGGCTCTGTCTCAGTAGCTGGTAATGGTAACGTCGTGTTGAAGTTGAGCGCAATGTCATTCACAAAGCTCTCGGATAACCAGTCGCCAGTGTTTCGCTTTGAAGACGGAGTCTGGATCTCTTTCAGCAGCAAATCCTTGACCGCTTGAAAGTCACCAGTGTTGTTGTACGTGTCCAGTGCTTCTTGCAACTGTGGCGAGTCACTGTTCAGCAGCAAATCTTTCAAGTGGCCACGGTCTTCACTCGAAATAATGCCCTTGTCGCCCAACGACTTTATGGCCGCCATCTTGCCCGAAATACTGCGATAGCGCTTGTTTGCCTTCTTGCCACCAGACATCATCAAAACTCCATGTGGCACACCGCCTCCAGGTCCGCCTCGTGACGGCCCTCCCATACTGCCAGAAGGGGGAGCAGCATTGCTCGTTTGGCCTGCGGTCTGGCCGTTAGCATACGGTGAGATAGTGGGCTGGGCATTGCCACTGACCGAACTTGGTGTCGACAGCGTCATGGGCCGTGCCGACGATCGACCGGGAGCCGAAAGAAACTCAGCACCAGCAGCAGGAGTAGTAGCTATTGCTTCCATCTTTACCGTCGCGTGGCGCTCCTTGGGCTCTTGGTAGTCCTCCCCCTGCAGGCAAATGACAAACCGGTCGTTCTCCCTAACGCCAAAGCGCAACGAGCGAGCGTTCAGCTGTAGAAACAAAGCACACAGAAAACCTCGTTAGAGTGCCATCCAACCAGCCTCGTACCCAGTCAATAGAGCACTCAATCGAGCAGTCCATATAGAGCAGTCGCCTTTGACGCACCTCTGCCGCAATACCTGCCACTTCTGTCGGCAGCAGAAACAGCCGCGCCTTCGACGTCGCGTCGGCGTCAACGTGCGCGCTGCTCTTCTTGCCTACTGCGGCCACCATCGCAGCGATTGCGTCCTTCCACTTGAGCGGCGGCGGCGGCAGGTACAGCACCTCATCGCTCGTCTCGCACTGCGTTGTGCCATCGTAGAGCCGCACAAAGACGCGCGTCGTGCTCATAGCGGAGGCGCTGGGCGGGCTGCGAGCGCAGGAGGAGACAGCGGCACGAGAGGCGGAAGCAAAAAAGACGCGCGCCGGCCGTGTCCGCAGCTGCGTGCAAGTGTGGAAATGCGAGGAGAGCGGCCGGCCAGCGATTGGATAGTTTGAACAACTTGAAAGGGCGCGGGCAATAGCGACACCGCGGGCGAGGGGGCTATCTTTTCGGTACGTTTCCCGTCGGTATTACAGTCTAGAGGCAGCAATGGAGTCAGAGCGCGCTGGGCCACACTTTCTTCCCTACCCCTTGCGCTAATGATGCACCACAGCGTTCTTCAAGGCAGCCGAGTTGTCCCTTCGACTGAGTGTAGAGCGACTCTGATGTTGAAGCGAAGATCGTTGTTCGCTCCTCAAGACGTTTGGTTAGACACGTCGACAGGGCACGCAGCGCATCGATGGAGCTGTATAAGCAGCGCTAAGCAAACACGGCGTATCGTGTTTCTTACGTCTTTTGTGATCCGAATGTGTCGATAAGGCGGTCTCTGCCGTGTTATTCAGTTATTGCGCTTCTGTTGTTGTTGTTGTTGTTGTTGTTGTTGTTGTTGTTGTCGTTGTCGTTGTTGCGGTAAGCAGACAGCAGCACTATCCATCGACTCGGTAGCACATCGAACATGTATACCGACATACGAGGGAGAATGCCAATCTGTGATACTGCGCGACAGGACAACCGCGCGACCCGCCTGGCTTTTCGCAGATACTTGCACAGTCGTAGTAGACAAGCAAAGCCCACTTAAGCCAGCGAGCGCTTAATTCGGCGTCACGGAGAGCAGAGTGCCTTGTCGAGTGCTGACTGGAACGCGCCCAAAGAGTCACGGCGACAGACGTGGCGGTGGTACAAAACACAACGACACGACACTCGCGCGAGCGCGCCGCGTCTGTGATCAATTGGGAGCTTGAACCTCCGACAGCAGGTGGGAAGAGTGAACGGCCGCGCCCCACGTACTCTACTCGTTTGTCTCGTGCACACATAAACATCAACGACCGGACGATACGGCCTCGTTTGTCGCGTTGTCGTCGAGCGCATCCCACGTAGCGCTCCCGTACGCAAGTGGCTACAGCCGTAATCAGCTGCTTGTTCTGCTGGTCATCCATCGGCAAGTGCATGTGCCGTCCTCTCCATCTGGTCGCTGCATCTTTTGCTTATCTTGACATGCAGAATTGACAGCGAACGTAAGACGCTGTGCTAGGGCTGACACGGCGCGTGCAATGAGTAGTAAGTATGAGTATGACACACGTCCTTGTAGTGGGGACCAAACACAAGCTCAGATGACTGAAACGCCTTCACGGGCGAGCAATCGATCGAGCCCCTCCCCCACTTCCTAGCGCAACTACAGTTTGTACCGTACGTACTTTGTCGTGACCGTTTCGACATTGAGCTGATGAGCTCAGTTGATACCGGATCTGCCGTTGTGTGGCAGATCAGCTGCACAGCGTTTGCCCAGATATTGCGCTTGTCGTTCGAAGAATCCACACAGGGTTTTAGGCACGGCGGAGGATACGAGAACGACGAAGCATAGTACAAGTTACAAGAGATGGCTACAAGCAATGACTGCAAGGTCCTGCTGACACTTGGTGCGATCGAGCGTTTGGTATAACGCTAATGCTGTGCCGCCTCTTGTCTATACCGCTCCTGGCAAGTATGCGGCGCACGTCCTCTTCCTGCTAAATGTTATTGCACTCACTACAACGCTCGCATTTCATCAAGCTTGGTACTAGCAGATACCAGCGCTCGCTGGCGCTGATTGGAGCTAACTTCGAAAGCGTTCATCGCACTGAAGTTGAGGCAAAGCAAAAGCATTCACACGATGACGAGTCATAAGGCGATGACGAAGAAGCTGAAAGAACTGATAGCTGATCATCTCGTTTGACAAGGCATTCAGCGGCAAAGTAAATTCGGGTGGCGTTTGTGGTGTTGCTCTGGTAATAAGAGCAAACACTGAAGTCCTCGACGTCGACTTGCTCGTGTGACACGCGTTACATCCGTACTTGCAGCACTGAATTTCATACATAATTGCAGGACCACACAGTCATCAAAAGCGGCATCACTGGTAATTGTACATCGGTGGAAACGGAGTCTTTGGGAGAGGTCAGGATATTAGTGGGCTAGAAGAGCTAGAGGTCGCTGTTCGATTGTTACCCCAGGCCACACATTTTTCGGACGCTGTGTCGATCGATACGACGCGGTGGCTTAAACTCAAGTCCAAATCAGTAACTTTGCGAAGAATGCTTACACGTGCACTGCCCACATGCCTTCTCATGTGCCTCTGTAACGTATCTACTAACGATGATACGCATACATCACTCGTTCGTCCGTTCTTCGCGTGACCAGATAACCTCCGCTCGTATAGAGCATTTCTTCATATTTAGCGCATGCTGCGTTACTGTCAATGCCATTCTGGCATAAGAAGATGGGGTCAAACTACTCACTATCTGCTCTAGTGAGCTACTTGCGCGAGCCATGCATAGCTTTCTTCCATTGCAGCAAAGCGCGGTACGCAAACAGCAAAAAGTCTTGCTCGGTGATTCGGCCATCTGCGTTACAGTCCACGACTTCCATCAAAAGGCTCAGCTCATCTTCAGTCGCGTAAGCATCTGCACATGACAAAGCAACAGTAAGCACCAAGAACACATGGCTGGGACAAGACGACAAACAACAGTACCAGTGTCTTGCTCGGCGAGAAGAACGACAAAGCTTTCTTCTACAAGCACGCCTTTACCATCGAGATCCAAGATCGAAAACCACAACTTCAAGGCTTGCCATTGCAAATTCGTAAATACGCTGACACCGCTTCCTTGAAGTGTGATGTGGCCCTGAAGAGTGTTCGTCAGCCGCGCCACCTGCTCAAAAGACGGCATTGGTATCCAATCCGTCATGCTTTTTCGTCGGCTAGGTCCAGCAGTTTCCACAAAAGTGCCGTTTGCCTCGCTGCTACACGCGGCGTCGCCCGTGGAAGTCGAGCGACTTGAGGGGGACCGGTACATCCCCGGATCTATTCTGCTTGCACGGCTTTGAGTCGTAGAAGTGTCCGCCTCACATTTTTTCGAGCTATCACGGGCAAAATACCGATCGTAGAAGCGCACGAAACCAGGAGAAAACTTCCATCCGCTCACGATTCGGTTTGTATCCCAGCCTGTCTTATCCTTTTGCTGCTTTTGCTTCTTCTCAATCTTCGTGTTCAACTTGTTGTCCTTCTTCTCATCCTTTATACGCTCAGTCAGACTTGTGCTACCCGTAGGCCCAGCGTCTTTCGTTTCCCCAACAAGTTCCCAATCCTGCGACAAATCACCGGAAGAGCTTGTAGCGCTGTCCTCAGTATCCTCAATGCTCGAATCACTCACAGGAGCAAAATAAGGTGGTGACGCAGGGAGCTCAACATCTTCCTGGATCGTCATTTCGAGAGCTGTAGATGGTGCACACAGCGAGGACACAAACGACCTTTTCTTTTGTAACACTTTAGTCGCAGACGAATGCGACGACGACGTCTTGGCTGCCTGCTCAAGTGTAAAGCGCAATTGCCGGCACACGTTCACCAAGTCGTAAAAGTCGATCGGCAAAAACGGCAGATTCTCTTTCAAAAACGCCTTCGCTGCTTTGTCTTCGCTCGGGCAAGCATAATCGAACTCGGCATGTTGACTACGCTTGTGCTGCTGATACTGCAGCAAACGGCCATTTTGCTTTTCCCAAGGAATCTTCAGAGTCGCCCCGACATTGTGATTTGTGTTACAGTATTCCGGAGCTGAAAACACAGTCACAACCGCGGGCAACACCAGTTCGCCACTGACACCTTCTTCTGAGCGATCCGCTTCATGGCGAAAATGCTCTTTGTAGCCGTCTTCTTCAAGCTCGTGTGCACGAATGATCGAAAGGAGATCGTTTCGTCTCAGAAACTCGTGACACGCGTGCTCATTGAACGTAAATGAGCAGCCGCGTATGCTATTAGGCGCCCACTCGTGCTCTTGTGCTTCGCCTTTGGCTGGATCTGACCAGAGCAAATCACACATGACCCCCTTTGGCTCTGGCTCCATAAAGCGGTTCACTTGGGCGTTTATGTCCTCGACAAACGTGATGTCCGGTGACAATCCACCGTGTACGGCCAGGAAGGTGCCGTGCACAGTCTCTAGTCGCGCTGCCAGTGGCATGCTCTCGAAGCACTTGATCATGCGATTATATACGACAGGCCCGTACTTTTCGAGGCATTCGGCGCGGAAGCCGTAGAACGTACTCAGGCTACGACACTCATGATTGCCACGCAGCAAATGCACGCTCTCTGGAAATTCAACCTTGAACGCCAACAACAACAGAATGATCTCGCACGACGATACACCACGATCCACATAATCACCAAGGAACAAAAACGGATTGTCGACGGCCGGAAAGCCGTGCACACGGAAGAGCTCCAACATGTCTTGGAATTGGCCATGGAGGTCACCCACGAGCGTATACGGTGCACGGATCGATACAACGTTCTGCTCAAGCGACATGAGGCTCGTCGCCCGTCGTATGATTTCCACTGCGCTGGACACGGGAATGGTCACCCCTTCTTGGAAATACGCCAAAATCGCGAGTGGGTCCAGTTCATGCTTATCGTGCTCTGCATCATGACTTTGATCCTCGCGCATCTCGCTTTCCACGCCGTCTTGACTCACAGCAGCAGCAGCAGCAGTAGTCAGAATCGGCACCTTGGCAAAGTGCTGCACTGTTTCTGGACTTATGTCACGGTCAGCTTGTTGACGCAAATAGCGATTGAACAGCGTCGTATCGGTCGACACACGACGGTGGTGCGGGCCTTGTATCGTGGCCAGGCGCATCGGTCCTGCCTCGGATTGCGCGTCCAGTTCCGTGCTGATGCTTGCGTGCGTGCGGTCCAACACCTTCTTGTACGCCTTCAGTTTCGCTGCAGCAGTGTGGGAAGCCATGAACGTCTTGAGCAGCGATGGCCGCGCTGTACTGGCCCGATCATCGTCCTCGGGTCGGTCTTGTTCGCGGTCAAAGGTGCTCGGGAGGTGCAAGTTCTGCTGGAGCCGCTGCAAAGGCGAGCACCAGTGGCGCGTCGGCGGAGTCGTCGGTGGCGACTCGACGTGCTCGTGCGTTGCTCGGACCTCCTCCAACTGCTGTGGGGCAGAGGGAGTGAGCGGCGACGACGTGGGAGCGCGCGCGTTGGCAGGCACAGCGGCCAGGAAGGCGTTCAGTTTGCTGTCCATGAGGCGTCGAGCGAGGTCAACAGACGAGCAAAGGGAAGCAAAACGAGTGCGCGGGGCGACGTGGGGGGGGCGACGACGAGGTGAGGAGGTACCTGTAAACACCACAGCACTACTGGGCGGAGAGGCGTCGCAATTGGCGAGTGGCTGCGTGTGTTTGTCTGCCTCTTTCTTTGTTCTCCTCAGTCTTTGCTGATCGACGGACGGGGAGGTATGTATGTATGTGTGTATGTAGGTATGTATGTGTGTGTGTATGTAGGTATGTATGTAGGTCGTGTGTGTTCGTTCTTCAAGTGGGTTTTTGTATGGGGAATGTCTATGAGCATCACTTTCGAGCAGACTCGAGAGGATGCACAGTGCGTGAGACATTACTACGACAGTATGTCTCGAGGGAAGGGTTAGTGCGTGCACTTGAGTCTGCTTAAAATAGGACAAGCGAGGACAGAAACCGCAGGGTCTCGGCGACTGTGTAACCAACCGACCAATTAACCACTTCGCTTGACCCACCCACTCCACTCCACTCCACTCGAACGAGCGCACACCTGCTGTCAGTCCTGTAACCCACAGCGCGGAGGTTAGGTTTCGTGTGAGTCATACTCGTCGTGCCTAGTTTAGGACGTTACCGACCGTGGCCGAGCAACTTCGCCACTAGCTCTCAGCCATGCGGCAACAAAGAAATTGTCTGGAAAGCGAAGAGGTCTGTACTTTACCAGCGGCGCTTTCCGAGCACGTTCGTAAATCGACACGACTTCGCATGTCGATGCCGACGCGTTGCTGATGCAACTCGGATCAAGTCAGACGGTGAGCCGGTTTCCCTTTGTGCTCGGCACTATGTGTTCTTTCTGGCCCTCGCGTCAACAGCGTTACAGGAGCTTTACAACTAACTGCGCAAGCGTTGCAGTTCGTGCAAAGCGGTAGTTTTTTCGTGCCAGTTATTCATGTCTTTCGTTGTTGTCGTTGTTGTTGTACGAGGTACGTTACATGTATCTTCATCTACGTAACCAATGCGAAAACAAATACAGCTCAGCGACGTCTCCTCCGCTTCTATCTATTGCAACGACACTTGCCAGACGACACGGGTTGCACAAAGACGCACAGATGCCGCTGCCTTGGCGGACGAATCGACCGATCCATTGCCACGCAGTCGAGCTCGCCTGACACAGAGACCTTTGCCCCCATTGTCCGCTCACCACTGTCGTCATCATCTTCAACATCTTCGTCGTCGTGACTAGTTTTGTTGTTGTTGTTGTTGTTGTTGTTGTTGTTGTCGTGTCGTCACTTGCACCACCCGCACTCTCAGAGAAACATACTCCTGACACTCATCATATCCTGAACGAGTTCATGCAGGAGTAGGTCGAACTCGGGCAAGTACATGGTCAAGAACAGCGTCGTTGAGATCGTGGTCGCTCCCGAGACGTAGTGCCAGCGGTTGTGCCACTTGTCATAGCGCTCCCCGCCAGGCATACCGCAATACAGCCACGTGAAGGCACAGAGCGAGGCGAGCAGCAGCTTAGCCGTCAGAATGCCGTACCACGCATTCGAGAGCGTGTGTTGGCCAGCAAAGATAAAGATGAACCCCAGAGTACCGCTGATGAACGCATCCAGCAACAGATACTTGGTCTCTTTCGACCGGTGGAACATGGTGGACGCAATGGCGGCGCTCATCTGCAGTACGCCGCAGACGTTCTGATCGCAGCTGAACGAGAAGACCGCCGCTAGCGCGTACACGAGATTCGAGTAGATGAGGCTGTCGCACCACGCACGCGTCGCGCGTACTTTGCGTCTCGACCGTGACAACTTGGCGGCTGCGAGCTTGCGGGCTTCGGCTTTCTGGGCGCACGTCGACGCCCATTGCGGCAGGAACGGCTGAAAGCTGAACGAGCAGAGGCACATTGGGGCAGCGCGAGGTAGCGGTAGTGCTGCTTGAGACTGTTGGGGGAAGACCGCGAATGACGAGCGCCTTGCAATGCACAGTCTTCGTGCCCCTTTATTATTTACGTTCAGCCACTAAAAGGCGGTCGCACCTGCTTTAAGCCACGGCGAGGCGATTTGGTGGTACTAGTCAGTAGCACTCTATGAGATAAAAGTGGGAGCGACGCCACTTGTACAGGCCCACGAGCCTTATGTGCTGCGCAAATATGACCAGTAGTCGCTCTTATCTGAACAAGCGAAGAACGGCGCAAGGATGGATAAAATTCCATCAACGATCAATAGGACATCCTTTCGAAGCGCGTGTACCTCGAACTCCTCGGGTATCGGATTCGGGAAACGGCGTTCTTTGTCGGAAAATTCGTGTCGTGGACACACTGATTAGATGGACACGCGTTGCGAGTGCTTTCGGATGCCATGTACCGTAGCAGCAGACGGCGCAGCATCTCACCCGCCACTTACACTAGCATGGTCGACCAAGCTTTTCCATCGGCCTGTGTTGCGGAGCTGATTGCGTTAACAAATGCGCTACTGAAGCAGATCTCTCAACCCGCTCGCAAACCTGGACGTCGCACGGCCGCGGGAATGCTTCACTCTGTATGGGAACAAATAGATCGTAAGCGTCGTCGGACAAAAAACGCTACCACGGTCGGGACCTCTTCCGATCAACGTGGCCGAGGCGTTGCTGGTCGTTTGTTCCATGCCGCTCGGTCACGCCTGCGAAACAAGTGCCCGGCAAAACGTACGGCGCAGGGCAGAAGAACAGTCTCCGTAATGTGTCGTTAACAGCGCCCAAGTACGTTGGACGACTCGTACAAACATACTCACAACGTAAAGGTCAAGGTGGTGTCCTTGTCCATGCTATAGTCAAGGGTGTCGAGGGAGAGTGTGATTACCTCTGTATGAAGCTCGCGTAGTCGACGCTCACGAACGGCTTCGAGAAGGCTGTGCATAACGGGCTATTAAGCAGTAAACAAAGGCCATCATGTAGACAAGCAACTACATTGGCTCAGTCGCGGCCGCAATAGACCGCTATCTCCTGTAGACCGATTGGAAGAGTGCGTCTGACGACTAAAAGTACGAGCCAACGACCGACGCGGCAAGCGTCGACGGTCTGAAGAGGCGTTTCAGTGACGGTTACGACGCGTCATTCAACCACCGACTACTGCCGTTTCGCCACCGACTGGACTGGATAAAAAAAGGTCTGACGAGTGGCACACCACATGCACACATTTGTGGTATTTCATCAATGACACCGGTCTCATCTTCCACTGCTGCTGTGCTGAAGGGGTTCTCTGTCTGACACTGGACGCGCCTTTCCCTGCTGCTCCCGGGACGACTGCTCTGTCTATTGACGAGAAACTTGTCAAGCTCGCGGCCATCACTGGCGCTCCACTGTCCGCTGAGGTCGACGCTCAGCTGCACGCGCTTTTTGCGAAGAAGGTGCACCCTATTGCCTACGATGGCTTCGAGCCCTCAGGCCGCGTGACGCTCGCTGCCGGTCTCTTGCGTATCCTGAACGCCCGGTGACTTCTAGACGCTGGCTGCCACGTGCGTCTGCTGGTAGCGGATACACACGCGCTGCTCAACAACAAGTTTGGCGGTGATCTCAAGAAGCTCCAGAGCGTCAGTCTCTACATGGTCGAAGTGTGGAAAGCGCTCGGTCTCGACGCTGACAAGTCGCAACATGTCGAGATCATGTTGGCGTCGACAGAGACGGCGCGTCATGCTGGTGTCTACTGGTCACAGGTGCTGGACGCCGCGGGTCGCTTTACTGTCGAGCGTGTGCAGCAGTGTGCACCCATCATGGGCCGCAACGACAATGATACCGTGCACAACACGAACCGCATTTTGTACCCACTCATGCAGCTCGCTGACGGCTTCTTGCTGCAGGCTGACATCTACCAGCTCGGAGCTGATCAGGAGCGTGGCAATGAACTAGTGCGCGAGTACGTCGCACAGAAGGATCAACTGAACTCACCGGTTTTCCTCACGCACCTACTGCTGCTCGGATTGAAGCAGGATCAGTTCAAGATGACCACAACTGACGCCGAGTCTGCCATCTACGTGGATGACACGGCTGCAGAGGTTAAGGCCAAGATCAAGAAAGCGTTTTGCGTACCCGGTGAGGTGGAAGGCAACCCGGTTTTGAACTACATGAAACATTTGGTGTTTCCCTTTCATGCGGAGGGGGTTACGGTAGAACGCAGTGAGAAGAACGGTGGCAATCTCGCTGTCATTACGTACGAAGAGCTGGAAGCGGCTTTTGCGACCGGCGGGGTGCACCCAGCGGACCTGAAGCCGTGTTTGACCACGTACGTTAATGAACTGCTTGAGCCAGTCCGCAAGCACTTCGCTAGCGGCCCACTCAAGACGATGTTGTCGAGCATCAAGAAGCTCAATGTATCTCTGACGCCCGATAGCGACAAGCTGACCAGTCTGTCGTTGCCCGGATTTCCGGAGGCTAGTAAAGAGTGGAAGGCGTCATTGTTGTCTCTTGAGGAGCGCTTTGCCATGGCGCGCTCCGTTGGTGAGGAATGCATTCAGGAGAGTGAACTGCAAGCGCTGATGGAGAAGAAAGATCACCCTGTGTGCTACGATGGCTTTGAGCCGTCAGGGCGTATGCACATTGCCCAGGGCGTTTTACGCACGGTGAACGTGAACAAGCTTACGTCAGCAGGCTGTGTGTTCCGCTTCTGGGTGGCGGATTGGTTTGCTATGCTGAACAACAAGATGGGTGGCGACTTGGACAAAATCCGACTCGTGGGTCAGTACATGGTGGATATTTGGAAGTCAGTAGGGATGGACATGGCCAACGTGGAGTTTTTGTGGGCGTCGAAGGAGATCATTTCACACGTTGCCTCGTACTGGTTGCGTGTGATGGACATTGCTCGCCGCACCACCATTGCTCGCACGCTGAAGTGCTGTACGATCATGGGCCGCAAGGAAACGTAAGCCTTGCAGGCTGCGCAGATTCTCTACCCGCTGATGCAGTGCGCTGACATGTTCAACGTGAAAGCTGATATTTGCCAGCTGGGAATTGACCAGCGCAAGATCAACATGCTTGCTCGCGACTATTGCGACCAGGCAAAGATCCGCTTCAAGCCTTTCATTCTGAGCCACCACATGCTCATGGGTCTCAAGGAGGGTCAGGAGAAGATGTCGAAGAGCGACCCAGAGTCGGCCATTCTTATGGAAGATGCGTCGGGCGACGTGAGCCGTAAGATCGAGAACGCCTTTTGCCCGGAGGGGGTTGTGGCGGCGAATCCGATTCTGGATTACATGAAGCACATTATCTGTCCACGCTTTGGTGCCCAAGGCGTGAAAGTGAAGCTCATGGACGAGACGGAGGAGACGTTTGCAAGTTATCAGGAGCTTGAAGACGCCTTTGTTGCGCGTCAAATCAGTGGCACCGATCTCAAAGCGGCACTGGCCAAGTATCTGAACGAGTACGGCCCAGCCCGCCTTGTCTTGCTCGTCCGGGTCGTTTTCTTGCCATGTTACTGACTGTGTTTGCATGTATGTGCTTCGATGTCCTGTAGAATTCTGGAACCTGTCCGCGAGCACTTTTCAAGGGGTGACGCCCAAGAGTTGTTGGCCAAAGTGCGCTCGTCTCGCATCACTAGGTGAACATAATTGGCGCTAAACCGTCGAATCGAGAAGCCGGCGTTTGTAAATGTCGGCTGATCTTGTTAGGACACATTGATGACCTTTTCAAGTTGGCGGATGCACGATGCACTGCTGGCAGGCAAAGAAGAAGAAACACAGAACGAAGAGTATATATTTGTCGAGTTATTCAGTCAACATAGGCTCGTACGATCTTCATCATTGCGACTGCCAATGAGGATTTCACTTTCACCGCCATACTATCTTCTCGCTCACGAAGATTACGAACATGCCGTCGGGCAGATAACCGATCATGACTCACCTTGTGACGAACGACGGCGTCGATCCCATCTCGGCTTGCATCGCCGATCGCGCATTATGCGGCCTCCGTGTCACCCTTGTTTTTTTTTGGTTTCATGGATCTTCCTTAGGTCGTTGACGAGACCTTCCACACCAATCCCGTTGACGCTAGATTTCAAAACAGGTACCTTTGAGAGCTCCTCAAGGCAGGTTTTATCGAAAACGTCAATGAATTTGTCAATCTTGCCACGATCCATTTTCCCGAACAAAATGTCATACATCTCATCGACGGAAATGGAAATGGCAAGCTCTTCGGGGTCCTTACTATTTTTCAGCACCATGGTGTACTTGAGCCAATCAATCGCAGAGCTTTGAAACTCCGAGAGCGACTCCGTGTGCGAGATCCCTAATTTCTCGGCGAGGATTACGGGGTTCACCTTTTTCTTCCTCCAAATGCCAGGCAAACCGTAGTACCAGAACGAGAGGTCTTGAGATAGCTGTTTGAACATCCCGGCAACCTGTTCTTTCATCACCTTGTCGCCGCCGGTTTCAAGCTGTAAAAGATCACCCACCACGTCCATAGCTTTACGACGACTCGTCAACACTCGATACGCTTCTTTCGCCTTCTCTTCCCCACCAGTGGCCGCGTATAAGCGGATAAACTTCAGCCAGCGTTTGAGTATCTCGGGAGTTATGCTCTTCCCGCTGATGCCGAGAAGGTCTGCAACTCTTGTAGGGCTTAGTTCGTGCACACCCACCACCTTCATATAGATGTCCAGCATCACAGGTGTCACCAGTTCCGGTAGATATCGCTCCTCGTTGATCTGGAGTTTGTGGTTCTTGGACTGTTCCACCGCCTGAGTACCCAGCTCCAAGTTTCGATTGGCGGCCGATGCGGTCGAATCCACAGCTGAGCGGTGAGACGGCAAAAGTCTTAGCGAGTCGGACGTGGTAGGGATGAGTGCGAAAGTCATTGGGTTTGGTGCCGCAGCGGTTGCGCCGTCGCCGTCGATCGAGTTCTCAGCATTCACCCAGCAAAAGAGGCTGAAAGCCGAAAGCACAACGCAGAGTTTGTGCATGGTGGCGAGTGGCGGATCAAGGGTGGCTGGTTGGTGCTTGCCAGTGAATTGCAAAGTGAGAGATGAATGCAGCTATTTTGTGTAGCAGAAGTGCATGGATCAGTCATTGTCTGCTCCCCAGCATCCTGATCACAAGAATGAAATCAGGCCTCGACCATTTCTCTCACTCATTGACACACCACGTGCATTTTTATACCAAAGCACTGAGACGCGGATGATGGGTGCAGCTCCGTGACCTCTGGAGGATCCCAAGATCAGTGTTTCCTGCCAGAAAAAGTTACGGCTCTCCTCAAAAGGCTAAGGATGTTCTGCTCCGCGTCGTAATCAAGGAAGGACCACTATAAAAATGGGGAAATATCCAACAATGGGTATCAGGTGATGGAGACGTGACCCTAAAATTAGGGGTTAGTACGGCCATGCATCGGATGATAGCCACCACGGGGCACGGGGGGAGTAAGTCGGATCAACTCAGCTTACTGCAGATACTATTGGCTACTAACGGGATGGAACATTAGAGGTCGTCGACAAGGGCACTTACCGAGTAAACGCAGTGGACCTCAGTCAAAGGCAAGTGTTTTAACTCAGTAAATGATAAGCTAGATAGTTATCTAAAAGCCAATAGGTAAGCCTGTAGGAACTGGGTAGCGGTGTCAACGAAGTATTCATTGCAGAGTGAGTCGATTATTAAAATAAAATTCGTACCTACAAGCAACATGCTTCGTAGCCACTCGTTCCTTACACACCCTCTGGTCCATCAACGTTGCTCCATTCCTGTCTCTTTTACAGCACGATAGAGCAAATCCTGACAACAGTAGCTCCAGGACGGCCAGAGACCTGGCAGATTTCCACTCAGGTCAGACACCATCTTCCAACAATGCCCATATTTCGTGTGCGAGTTCGTCCAGTGAAACAAAAACGAGGTGGGCCCACTTTACATGTTGATGACCACCAAATGGGTCAATGCGAATTTTATCATAGCTGACAAAATTCTTCAATATTTACTTTACTGAGTAAATACCGATAAAATTTACCAACACATAATTATTGGAGTGTTATGTAGTTAACGTAAGACAAAAGAGGTCTACTTTAGACTTTCTGACTTCGGAGTATATTTAATTATATTTTTCCTTCTTTTATCCATGTATGTAGACAAAACCATGTGCAATGGAGCACGCGCTTCGATAGATGACTAATTGAGTCTTTGCGAAGATGAAAGTGCAAGAGTTGATCCCAGATCCTCACGAACACGTTACCTAGAGGAAGGGTAAGCTTATCAAGCAAAAGCTGCTTATAATGCGACAAAACGTAGAGATCGTCCAATTTGATATGCTTATATACCACTGCATAGCTACCTTAGGACCCACCTTTCTTATATTTAACTCCAAATTTGCAGGCAGGCATCTCCTCACCAACCGTTGCGCGCGTCAAGCAGCATTAGGTGGTTTAGTTGGTTGACACAATGGTTTATCGAGGTAGTCATTTTACATGGGGAGAGGCTAAATACACCTAGCATTGTTGCTCAATACACCGGCGCCTGTCCATTAGGCTTAATGTGTATATGGCAACAGTTGTATCACATTTAGGCCACGTCTATTCGAATATTACAGGATGAGCTAAGTAGAAATACACCTGTAACATAGCCATTTCGATTCAAAAAGAAATCCTTCGTTGTCTAACGCATGATGATGAGCCCTTCATCTACCTCCACTACTGCTGCTACCACTGCTACGGCCGTAAATGCTGATAATATGCTGTCCACCTCCACTACTTCTGCTGCCACAGCTACGGTTGTTGATGCTGATACTAATTCTGTCGTCACTGACAATCAGGTAGCGTTCCATGTTGATGCTGGACCTAGTCCTGCCGCCGCTGATCTCTCATGGATCGGTGAAGAATCTCCACCGGTCGGGCCTTTTGATAGTCAAAAGACGGCTGTAGAGGCTTTAAAGCAAAACGCCGTACGCCAAGGCTTTGCTATTGGTGTAACGGGGCACACCCTTGCGTGAACTTAACGCAAGGGTATCGGTGCCCCGACAGACGTACACGAGGCAAACGAGGAAGCGTAGATAAGGTAAAAGTAGAACTGTTATATTAATATAATTAAGTCTTTTAACCACTGTCTCTCTGTTTGACGTAACTTAATTATGCTAATATAACTGAGTGTATGGTGACGTCTCGTCACCACTCATTGCGCGCGTCTTGCGGCGATTGGTGGGTTGATATCATCACGATATCAACCAATGAACAGAATCTTTGGTCGACCCTTCAATATCACCACTTCGGTGATATTGTTTAAAGAATATTCAGCTTCATATTCTTTATTGTCACTTTCCTTCAAGTGACAATTCCATGTAACGGGCTGCCCCGTTACATCACCCCCCCCTAACTGATAGTCACCGTGTGACTATCGATAATATGGTGGCCACCCGTTGGTCACCATTGGGACAGGGAGCACTTGTTGGGTCCGTTCCATTCACTTTCCGCTTGACCTCGCATAGTTAACATGTCTATGCGAGGTGACTCAAGACCTACACAGCCCGGTGCTGTGCCAGCCTCTGCGGCAGAAGATTCGTCGTCTACTGCTCCTTCTTCGCCTGCAGCAAGAGGTGCTGCAGGTGCACGCGGTACAGCACCGCGTGCGCATGATGACACTGACGTTGAGGTCATCTATCATGGCGAGTCAGACGTGTCTGACTCGGGCAATGCTCCAGAGTAGTCTCGCTCACCGGTGACGCCTCAGTATTCGCCAAGGCCACTGCCGAACGAACGGAATCGTGATTTGCATCACAGTCTGTTCGGAAGTGATGACGATGATCAGAGTGGTGAGGAATATCATTCCTTACCACCGCTGGCTCGTGCCTCTTCGCACGAGAGTGATAACGATGGCGTGAGCCATCGTCAATCTGGGAGCCGTGGTACCAACAAAGGTACCACTGTGAAGCGTGATGAGCTGAAGCCGTGGCATTCGCCCGAACGGCTCATCAATAGCTTGTCTCACGAGACAAGCCAACACCATCGAATACCCTTATTCGATGCGACTGGGCTTCACGGCTTGAGTCCCAGCGCGAAGAACTTTCGCGCTTAAGAAGACTTCTATCTCGATGTCTTCCTTAGACATCGATGGTATAATGGTAACCAAAAGCGTGACTAAGCCTCGCTTTTGGCTGCGTGGAACGCGTTCGTCCAAAACGTCAAGAATTTTGGAAGAGAAGGGTGGCTCAAGAAACTTAAGGCGACACACCTCAGGTTTGAAAGCGAGCGCCAACCGGTGCCAGGTACCGGTTGCACTGTTTGTCGAGTGAGGCAGACATTTCTTGCCTCACATGGGAAGACCCTTGTGCGAGTTGTGTTGACAACTCGCAGCGTGCACCTAGGGACGTGTATTCCATAAGTTTGCCCTGGGGAAGGGCACACATCTCGGAGGAGATGCGTGACGCGATTGCAAACTTGCAATCCGTCTACAAGCGCCTAGGGCGCGTGTTTACCGATGGGCCCGATGACTAATCGGATGGGTCTCGTCATGCTGGCGTACGAGACCTTCAACATCCATCAACAGCTGAGATCGGGGCTCCCAGCTGTTTCAAGAGGGTGGATACCCCCGCCGCTGGACGAGGTAGCTCTTCCTTGATCCTGAATCGTCACGGTGATTCAAGGTACGCTCCACTAGAAAGCGTTGACCACCGGGAGCATCCACCAAAGGATGTGGTGGAGGAGGAAAGACCTCCTCCAGATGATTCAGTTCACCATCTCGACCCTTACGAGATGGATCGCGCAATCGATGAATTGCGCGATGACTTGAAGCACGAGCGCGACCGGCGCTACGCTTTGACTGATACCGTGCGGAAGAACCGCAAGGATCACGAGGCTGATCGGGCGAAGTACCGCGCTGAGTATGCGGTCGCACAGCTGCAGGTCGAGCGCGACGTCCGCTTCTTCTTTGGCGAGCTGGCGACAGCTTGCGGAGAGATCTCTCCGTTGCGTTCTGAGGTCTCTTAATTACGCGACCAGACGGACCTTCTGGAGCGCAAACGCAAGAACTTAATGGATGTTCTTGAACGTGGGGGCTATCTTCATCGGAAGAAGGAGGCTCGTACTTGCAGTACGGCCTGAGTCGCCCCACGTAAAACGTAGGATGTGTGCGCATCTTACTTGGCAATTCGATCGTGTATGCATTGCCCTTGCGGTGCAACACACGAAAGGGACCAGTGTACTTCGGCAGTAGTTTACTACTACCGACACTAGTGACTGCATGTCCAGGTAAGTTTACCGTAGACAGTAGTACTAGGTCGTTAACCTTAAATGAAAGAACATTTGCTCTTCCATTCTTGTCTGCGTTCCGTTTCTGACGGTCCACCGCATTTGCGATGGAGTCCTGAACGAAACGGACTACCGCCTCTCGAGTCAGCAGGAAGTTCTCTGCTGACTCGTTGTTTTGTCTTTCAGTGCGCTTCGTGCGCACTGCTAAGAGATCGTTATCTTCTTCAGCGAGGTTGTCTTCTTCCTCGCTGGCATAATCGTTGACGATGCTGAATATAATAGCATCGTCATCATCATCCGAGTCAATAATAGCGTCATCGCTATTATTGAGGTGATCTTCTTCATCGATGTCGACTTGATCGACATCGGCATCATACGTGACGACGTTAGCGTCGAAACGTGATGAGCAAGAGCCAAAACGATTTTTGCTCGAGCGAGTCCCTCCCCCCTTATCCAAGAGTCACACTCTGGACACACGTGGATGGCGTAGGCCATTCGCGTAAAACGGTGTGTGCTGTGTGGAAGCATGCACCGAATTATTGATGGCGAATTCCACCATGGGTAGGAACTCGCTCCAAATCGAAAACGAGTGGACATATCCTCGAAGGATCCCTTCGAGGACACGGTTCGCACGCTCCGTCTGACCATCTGTTTTGGGATGGTCAGAAGTAGACATTTTCGATCGTGTTCCGAGAGAACGGAACACAATTTGCCAAAATGCCGCCGTGAACCGAGGGTCACAG